AAGAAAAGACTTCAAAGAACCAACAGATGTGCACTGGTGTGAACCCTGAAGGAGAGCATTCCAGAGGTTACACTGAAGGCCCTGTCGCCATAGTTGGGCAACTAGAACTTCCCTTGACCAGCCTGTGAAGATAAGTCTGTTGACATCTTCCACCTCCTATTCTGGAAAGAATCACAAACAGCAGGAGATGGCTATCACGGTGGCCTGCCTGAGGCTGGAAGACACAAAGCAATGGTCTTGGCCTAACAACCAAGGAGGAGAGCTGATACAGCTGGGAAATAGGGGAAACCTGGGCTGGATATGGGAAGCAGACTCAGCCTAAGGTATAAAGTATGGAACTAAATGGGAAGGGGTAGACATCATATTTGGAGACAAGGGGGGTTGAAAGCTGAGTGCAGAGGGCTATGGGGTGCAGACTGTGGTATGGAAGTAGCAGGACCAAGGTCAGGACCACAAGGGGAAACAATAGCTAATGGACACAGCGGAAACTCGACAGGTCATGGGAGCGCAGATTATATGCTGATAGGAGGCCTTGTTGTAGAGTGTCTCATTTTAAAGATACTTTGGAGCAATGCACATATAGTGAGATTTTTAGCTGTTAAAATAAGAATTTTTGCAGGAAAATCCTCAAGGACCAACTTCCTTCCTCAAGCCTTTACTCTGTGCTAGTATAGGGTTACAGGACCACACACAAACACACAAGTGTGTATAGGCAATGCACAAATATGCACTCATATGTGTGTCGCCAAACACACAGGCCACCACACACACACGCGCTGAGTAGTAGAGGCTCATGTGAACATAGGTTTTTACTTCAAAGCTGTCAAAGATAATGGTATTTTTGTTGCAATTAAACTATCACCATAATTCCAACATATACTGATTAATTGAACATGGCACCCATTATCACAAACATTATGGGTATGTAATTATAGTTATTACTGAAGAGTAATGTATATATATGTACATTTGCTAAGACAAGGCTAAATGTTCCCATAATTGTTAGAAAAACACTTAAAGTTGCATAATGACAAACTCACAGAGAATTATCACCCAACTCTGTAGTTCCTCTTAGCTTTGCGGAGGGTTTATCCATTTTTCAGCTCTTTGTTTTGGTTTTATGGCCCACAACTTACTGTTTTGGTTTAGTCTCATCTCATCAGTATTGTTTCCAGCTGGAGCAGGCAGCTGTTTTCAGTGAAAAAGCTCTAAAACTTGTCTACCCAGCACCAGTGTTGGGCAAGTTACTCAGAAATTGTAATATATTACTAGTTACTTATTACTCCTTGAAAAAGTAATATTATTAGTAGCCTAATAATTTATTACTTTACTTATTACTGAGTAATAAAAGTTACGTTACTCGAGAGCAAGGGAGCGAGAGGAGGTGCTGCACGAATATATGCTCCTCAATACAGCTCCTCAATCAAATATGTTTTTAAATACGCCTAGTAAAAAAAAAAATCCATATGTGACGGTGTGTGTGTGTGTGTGTGTGTGTGTGTGTGTGTGTCAAGTCATCTTGAAAAGAAAAAAGGCAGTGGAAGCAACACACAGGATTCATAGTGAGGCTTAGGGAGACAGAAAAACAGTAACACAGCAAACAGTTACAGTAAAACAAATCAAGACAGAAAATAGACAGAAACAAAAAACAAACACTGTGGGGGTCGAGTTATGGTCATAAAAGACTCAGCTCAGAGCAGAGAAAGACAGAGAGAAAATGAAAAGGGAAAGGTGAAGAAGGAAACAGGGAGAGACCGGGACTACAGTCAAATCCACTTCCACACTTGTTAAAGCACTGCTGCACACTGCTGCAATGTTCAACACACAGAGACAGGCACACTTACTAAGCATGGAGTTAATAAGGGACCTCCTAGTATCACAAACCTTTAACGTATGCACTCTGGTGGGTCTACACATCACCACTAATATACACACACACACACACACACACACACACACACACACTTTAACAACACAACACAATCATTAAGTGATAAAGGTTTATTGCAAGTTAATTGCTGAGCCAACTGCTTTTCTGTGTGAGGTATCTTATGCATTACACTCAGTGGTAGTTTTTTTTAATGGTCTCTCACATACACACACACATAAGATGACATTCATAGCCACATGGACACACAAAAATCTCTGACACTTTTATTACTTTTACACAAAATGTCAAGAGAGTCTGCGATGTTACTAACAACTAAAACGAGGGGAAAACATTTAGATTAAGTATTTGCATCACGCTGTCTTGAGGCAAATGTGTCAGAAGTCTGCAAGAGCAATAAATCAGCTGAATCCCTCCAGTTAGACATATTAAAAACTTACAGACATGCAAGGGATGCACTAAAAGGGCATCAAGGCCATAGGTCTAGATTTCCCACAGCCTAACCAAGCGCTTTCTAATAACGTGAACATTCTGATGGATTTTATTTTATAATCACAGACTGCAGTGAAAGTGTAGAGAATGTGTGTCAGTGGTTCATGCCAAGGTCATTTGAAGCTTATCAGCTGCTCTAAAATAGCAGCACTGTCTTAAAATATCTTTGAACGATAATTTTTTGCCAGAGCAGTAGTAGTGTACTTAGCTGGAATAAATAGCTGGAATAAAACTACATTCATATGCTGGACTCCGTCCACATTCCAGGAACAGCAAATGTATATAATGCTTATGTAGGGTATACTGTACATAAAGAGTATTATTCACATTATCCACTCCAGACAACAGAATCCTTTATGTTTGCTTTGATATTACCATATGAATTTTAGATTTCTTTTTCTTGAATTGATGTAAAGCATTCTGTGATGGAACCATTCACTTTTATTATGTGACAGTTATTGTTATTGATCAAAGGTGTACAAAATAATTATTTTGCAAGTCATAAGTAAATCTCAAGTCCCACGTGAAGTGTCATGTCAAGTGCAACAAGTCCCGAGTCCTAAACTTTGTTTCAAGTCCTAAAAAAGTGTTTTATTAGTCTGACTGCTGGTCTGCACTGACAGATGTATAATTAAATTTATAATACGATTTAGTCAAGACTTACATTTGTCTTACTTCTGATTTTGTCCTATAAATGTGTAAAATTCAGGAAGGCAGCATGTATCTTTGGGGGAGTAGAAGTACGATGTATAAAATAGTCCAGCACAGAAATCTTTTCAACAATATAATGCTATCATCTGTACCTGTTGCTGCTATGCTCTCTGACAGGGGGAAAAATTTAATTATTAAAATTTTCCATATTATGTGATTAAGCAAGTGAATTGTTTTAACTCTCCATACTCCATATTACATAATGAAATAGGTCCCCAAATCATGCTATTAACATAAATGAAGGGTGAGTCAAATTTACAAATACTTCAGAAAAAGCAAGACGGCCAAGGTTTTGAGCATGTGTAGTACAAGTGAGGTAAGTCTGCACCATGGAAGTGACCTCAAAGATTAAGAGCTTACTGAAATGCAAACGAAGTTGAGATCAAAGCGCTTAAGCATCTATATAAAAATACTCTGTTATTGCATATTAATTCTTCAGAAAACAACGCATTGAAAATAAATCCTTTCATCTTTGCAGGGATTGAAACATTTTCCTCCGCGGCTTGAGGGCAGATTCAATTTAAACCGCATACCGACATGGCATGCATTCCCTCTCTTGCTCACGCCCACGGACATTTAAGACAAAAGTCACACTACAAAAATACATCAAAGGTACACGCTGAGGATGGTCACAACAACCTGCAGCCCGATAAGGAGGCCCCCCTGCAGAGAACACAGGTAGTTCTGGTTAAAACTTCTGTTTATCTGGCAGAGAGCACAGTGAATGTCAGCTATGTGAGCAGAGATATGTGCATATCGTATCCTGTCCCTTTGCAGTTCAGACACACAGCCCACACAGCCCGACAAACACAGATTGATTAGACAGGATTTCTGTCAAAGAGCCAAAGTGTTTCCTTATATCACAAGAGAAAATAAACACTCTCAATTGAGAAAACAAACCTGAAGCATGAAACCCTAAACAATGAAACTAATATGCACTCCTCCCTCAGCGCTGCCATGTTTGCATGAAATGTTTCTTTCTGTCTCGCAAACACACACACTCTCACCGACTGCATCACCTCTGACATCCCTGCAGCCTCTGGGGCCTCATTACCCACACTGCACCTCTCCTCTGTGGACTATCATTGACAGTAATGTGACCCTTGCTGATGGTGGTGCCATGATCGGAGGCGCCCCAACAGTTACGACACGTACACACACACACAAGCACAGGGATGTGCAAGTTCTCTCTCTCTCTCTCTCTCTCTCACACACACACACGTACAGACAAAACACACAAAAATAAACAATCCCGCAGCGAAGCGAATGTGAGACATCTCCCTGGGTTGTACTTAGCTACAGTACCATGACGCCTGTGCATGTCAATCACAAGGGACACACTCTGAGCATAAGAGATATGCACAGGGGTCAGAGTTGGACTCGTTAATCATCTCCTCAGACTTTTGTATCACAATCTGGGAACTTGAGTCCCAGATGGGGAAAGGGAAACAAATTACATGAATATTCTTTTTGACACAAGATATATTTTCAATTACAAAAACTTGTTTTTGCTTTGCTAAAGGGATGATAAGCTTCTGAGTGTTATCACATGACAAATCCCAACAAGCCAGAACCTCAAAGCACAAAGTGTTTGTGTTTCTTTTGTATGAGCTTGCCCGCATATCTGTGTTTATGCACCTGAATATGCATGTGTTGTGTATGTGTAAAGGGCAAGGCTGTGTATGTGTGTGCATGCGTGTGAGTGTGTTATAGTAGAAACAGTATATCATTACTTCTGGGTGGTTGAGGTTTGACATACTGGCTGGGAATACGGTGGGAGACATTCCCAGAAGTTCGGTTTTATCCCAACGCGGGAATGCAAACAATCCAACTGAATGGATACTGAATGCACACAAACCACAGACACACACACACTCTCACTCTCACTCACTCACAAGGGTTATCGTACCTGCTGATCCACTGGTCATCCTTGCAGCAGCCTGACATGAAAAATAGAGAAGAAATACACAATGAGTACCAAAACAAAAGCAATAAATCATACAAACAGCAGATTCACAATAACACTCTCAAGCTTTGGAGAATGTAAACTCAATATCAGTCTAAGGCAATGACTCACTCCCCTTGGACAGCAGCAGTAGCTACGCTGGGAAAATGACCCAAATTTCAAATCTGGTTCAACCAAAAGGAACAGATTTCCAAAGTGTTTAGGCCATAGGATCATATGAAAACCCACCAAGCCCTAATAGCTTATTTGTTTGATTATTAACCAGATTCTTTTGGAATTACAGTAAAATAAAATAATAATCCCATGTGAAGAATGTGTTTTTAAATTGGGTGACATCCGCTTGATGAATGAGGCCAAAGCCCCTTTTAGAAAAAGCAACTTAAATCATAATAAATGATGCAATTAAATTTGAGGAAATTGGAAAGGATGTTGCCTGTGTCTGTGCGTCTTTGTGTGAGACTGTGAGCTAACTTGGAACTAAGAGAAGGAGAAGAACAGGACATGACAGAAAAGGTAATCAAGATGATGGCAGCAGATGACAAATAATAATAACAAGAAAAAGAGCATGGGAAAACAATAAGATCAAGAACAGTAGCAGTAGCGTTCACCAGCAACAACCCATGACTTAGATATTTAATAGCTAGAATATTAACACAGGAAATGAAAGCTTAGGCTCTGATCATGAGGAGTACATTACACACATAAATGCACTCCTTAAAAAGTCCCAGAATCCACGAGCATTGACAAACCATAAGATCAGGGAACTCAGATTAATTTCCTAACCAGTGTGTAAAACATTATCGTGACACAGACAGTGCATCATGAATGCTGCCACTGTCATCTCTACAAAGGTCTTCAGGAGCTGGGATTTAACTAATGATGCACTTGCACTTGTGCAATTACACAGGAAATTCTGCAGGATTCCCATGGGCTTTCCTCAGCCCTGAGATCATCTACAGTAAATTACTAAACAAACAACTGTCAGTTCAAGAGGCAGAAGTTTACTAAAATTAGAATTTCATGTAAAAGCAGCGTCTCACATGTCGGTGACTACTTGCAGTAACTGCAGTAAATTGAACAATCAAGAGGTCTCTTAGTAATCAGAGAACATCAACCACCACTCATCTATATTTAGTATTAATGAAATGATGACCAATAACCCAATACTATATCAATAATATAATAGACTAATAATTTTCATCTATTGTCCCTGGCCAGTTATTAAAAGGGCAACCTAAACTAAATCATTAATTTATATATTTATATATAGTTTCAAGAGTAAATCGATATTCTACTGCTGACTGATTCTCAAACCAGTGGTTCAGTATAATCAGAGGCTCCACAAACAGCACATATGAAACAAAAATTGTTGAAACAAAAAGAAAAAATGCTCTAAATTTGGGGCTGAGAAGAACACTATGTATCTGTGAGTGTGTGTGTGTGTGTGTGTGTGTGTGTGTGTGTATGTGTGTATGTGTGTGTGTGTGTGTGTGTGAGTTTGGACAGCTGTACTTTATCAGTCACGGTTAGGGAAAAATAAACCCCTTTAGCGTCAGTCTGATTCCACAGCCTCTGCTGCTCTCTCTACCTACCTACACATCCAAACACACACACTCACACACAACATATAATTCTGACACATCAGGATCAACTGCACACTGGCCAAACCAATGTGCTACTGTATTCTGCAGAGGCTTACCATAATTTGTAAAAAGAGGACAATGAGTCTAAACCTGCGATGCAGCTGTATCAGGCTAAGAGAGGCAAAGACTGCAGCTTTCCCTCAACCATCACCAGACGTCAAATCCGAATCTGAACTTCTTTGAGCACTGATTTGGTGACTTGCAGGTCAAAACCCAGTTAATTAATTGTTATGCTCTTTTGAAGATGTAAACAGATCTGGGTAAAACCAGGATATCTTTAGTGGGAAAAGATTTCTTGGTTACACACAGAAATTGTTAAATTTGTAAAGTTTTAATGTGTATACAGTTTAGTTAAAAATAATGCTGCTGGTGAATAAAAAAAATAATAATTAAGCGCATATGTCAAGTCCTCTTTTTACAAGAAAACCACCTCAAATGTTACAAGCAGAATGCAAGCTGTAGGTTGCATGAATTTAACCTGGTTTAATTCTGACTCTCAGTAAATACAAAATGTCTGTGGTGTGACAAAACAATCTCAACTCAAGGTTCACTTACTAGCTTTTTCCAGCACTTTCATGTTTCGTCAAACTACCATTTCAAGATCAAGAATGAAGTTTAACTTATTAACTTTTAAGACAACATGGACAAGAATTATTACAGCTACGAATAGCTACTGAGTTTGAAAGCCACCAAAGCCGTATACATTACATAGCACACTCCATCCACTGCTGTAAACCAGATTATATGGTTGAAATTGTATGAAAGATTCAGCAGGCCGATTACAGTTTTAGATATCTACTACTACTACCCAAAAAAAGATTGGTTTACTTTTGGACACTGCTATCAATTCAATCCGGTTGTGCCATTTGAGCAGTGGTGTGTTTATGGTAGCTGTAGTTGTTGCCGCAGTGCTGACACAGAAAAAAAAAAAAGATGACCTTGCATCCTTCTGGATGGAGCAGAGCTGTCTCATCCTTTTACTTTCACCTTATTTACACAACAGCATGGGAGACACAGACTGGACAGAGGCCCAGAGATAGGGAGGGAGGAAATGTGATGAAAGAAAGGGAGGGAGGAAATTTGGATTTGTAAAGAAATAATCAAAAGAGAAAAGGAAGAAAATGTTAACTTTCCAGTAGCTTTGGGTAGAAATTCCCAGTGTATGACATAAAATATAACAAAATGACACAAGAGGTCAATGTGTTTCAAACAAGAAAGCACCTTGAACAATGTAAAAATAAAAAAATGTGTTAGGTCTTAAACTTTTTGTCCCCAAAAACTGTCCACAATTATTACAGCACAGACTAGATTGATGAGAAGGTTTCACTCAAAAGATGTTATAAATTGAGTTTGTAACATCTCCGACGCTTACTTGATGATACTTTCAGATTCTTAACTAATCAACTTATTTCAATCAGACATGTCAGGATCAGCTGCAAAGTCTCATATGTTGTATAGCTCCACACCAGCGTGCATGCCGTTTTTAAAGAGTAAGGGAGGCATGAGCTGACAGCAGGGAGGACTGTAAGCTGATCAGATCACAGGCATCATATCTGTTTGGGAGTGGTAACCTGATGTCATAATCAGTAGACAAACCCAATGGCTTTCCCGTTGAAGAAGCTGCAGTAGACTATAGCCTAGTAATATTTGTGATTAAATCGAGTATTCGGGACAGAATTCAGATGGGTTAGTTTCGTAGCAAACTGTTCTTCCTGTATCTGTATAGATAATATTAAGCAGGAAGTAGCATCCAGAAATGTAGCCACAAACTCTCTGTAGTTACTCATTTTTTAGTGTAACTACTACCACAAAGTCACTGCAAACATATAACTAAACAGCATGTTGCCATAAAGGTCAGAGTTTTAGCACCGAATAAAGCAGACTGATCAATTCAACTCACAAACACTCCCAGACACAAACACAGCGGTACGGTCTTGCTCACCCTGGCCTGTCGAGCATGGAAATGTGTAGGGGACGAGAGGGACGAGCGAGTCAGAGGTCTGCTGCGGGTCAAAGGTCGTGAGGGGCGCCTGGTCAGCGGCTCAGGTTTTTCTGAAGCTCTGGCGGTTCCCTGATCCTGACTCGGGGCTCGGCACGCCATTCTGCCCACAGCCGGGGTACCCTGGGAGGACAGAGAAGAAGTCAGATCCACTTTTCCCTGATGCTGGACTATAAAGCTGATTGAGATTAGAAGTTTCTTCTTCAAATATCACCGCAAGTTCTACTCTTTGGCTTTTCTAGAGCTTTCGATTGTATCACATGATCTTCCTCAGCAGATGAAGTTGCCCTGTGGTCATGAATATACAGATCTTAAAATCTCCATTTTCTTCCAAGCACATAAAGGTAAAAGTTGGCTTAAAGGTTAAGATTTCAAGTTCATTATCGACCTTGGACACAGCCGTCGATATTGACGGTGCAATTTGAACATCGACACGGCACTGACACATGAGCAAGTCCGTCTGTTTAGGATTATCTGATACAAGCAAAAGTTCCAGAACTGGTAAAACAAAACATTGAGAAACACTAGCACTAAAATGACAAAGTGACAACATATTCTGCAAACTCTTATTATTTCTCATGACAGATTAGGTATAGCTTTCCCTCCTCGAAGAGAATCTACATATTATTTCTTTCATGATTATAAGAAACTCTCTTTGTTTTTCATCATTATGCTGTCAAGATAACTGACATCCAGTTGAAACTGCTCTTCATTTCTTGTTTACTATTACTCATTGCAGTTCTTAACATCCTTTTTGCTAAAATGCTACACTACACAGTAGCACCTTCAATATCAGTTTCTATGTAGCTGTATTTCATCTAGTCTCTTACCCCTGTCTTCATGTCACCTGCCTCTTCAGCAGCTCTATGTTTCTGTTGTATGGTTTCTGTGGAGTATTTAGTGGAGCTGGTGTTGGTGGGTGAGTGTTTAAAGATATAAGACACTGCTGATGATGTGTCTGCCCTTCTATCATTCTGAAAAATCCCCAGCCCATCATCGTCCCCGCCATATCTCCACTCAGTGACAACACTGGAAAGTCCATCCCTGCTTGACCTCATGACTCAACTACTGTACCCGCTACAGTGGGAAGACCCGCTGCTGCTGTGCTTCCCGCTCTCCCCTGTCAAACCCTGTGCTGATAAAATGGATGTGTGTGCGAAAGTAAGAGTGTGTAATTAAAAGCGAAGGAGGAATGGCATAAATGTCGAAGAATCCAATCCACAACTGCATGCACAGAGAGACACATTTTCCCTTCAACACAACATACAATGCTTGTCTGTGTAGAAAATTCCCTTTCTGACCCCGTAGAGCATTTCTATCATAGAGTTGATACTGTTGCTAATTTTCTTACTATGCGGTCACAGTTTGATGACAACATCAAGGACACTGTGTCCCCAAAACAAAGTACAGTTCAAACCGAAGGTCAGTAAATTTGTCATCTAAATTTCTAATTTTGGCATGACTGTATTTCCACATTTGTTATTCTTATTATATTTGATTATATTTAGTGTGTATATATTTATAGATCAACGTAGAATGTTAACTGATTCTTCTTTTATTGTATTTTGTTCTTTTTACATTCCTCTGTGGTGCTTTGCCAACTTGAATTTCCCCATAAGGAGGATTAATAATCTTATTTAAACTAACTTGGCTTGTTTGATTAGCACTTTTTCTGTTCCAGTCTTTCTCATGTAACCAAGAGGAATTTAATAGATAAAATTCCCAGAGTGGAAAGTCCATCCATCAGAACACAAGTCTAAGAGTCTTCAGCCATGCTAGGGGCTTTTTGAGGCTGTACTTAGCAAGCTAACATGCTTACAATGACAACGCTAACATGCAGCCCACTAATGTTTATCAGGTGCAAAGTTTACTGTGTTCACCATCTTGTTAGCATGCTAACATTTGCTAATTAGCATTAAACACAAAGTAGAGCTCACGCTGATGGGAATGTTATTAGTTTTGCATGAATTTAGTCATAAACCAAAGTATTGGCCACACAGAAATGTTTGACCTGATGGTGGAGCTAGATGGCACGGCAATCCATCTAATAGTTATTGAGATATTTTAAAATCATGGACCAAATTTTTGGAGCAACCTTATGTTATGTCCTTATATTCCCAGGGTTCTATGTTCCCAGCAGGTGTGTCTCTTGAGATTGTTAAGGGCTATCATCGCAGTTCAAATGACAAAAGAACAAAGGGGGGTGGACATTTCAAATGCAGTTTGAATGGTAAAAATACTTTTCACCACTGCCAATGTCCAAAGGGTCTTGCCTGTAAATTTGAGGGAGTAGGTATCAAGGAGTATAACATCAGTAGTCTTTATGCTGTAGGTGGGTGATTTCAACCACATTGACCATATTGATACAATGAACATCTGACCTGGGGGAAAACATTGCTGAGAACATGAAACCATTTGAAAGATCTCCTTAATGTCTCATATTGTGAGGATATTGAGCTGGGGAACATAGGACCCTAGCAGCATGCATTGTCATCCCTAGATTTATGATGCTAGCATTGCTAAAAATATGTATTAACAATGGAGAAGAGTTTTAAAAATGTGCTGTGCAGAATAAGGAAGGGATGGAGGTTGAAGGATATTGTCTGATTACAGGGCGGTGTGTGAGGAATGAATGAAAATATAATACTGTGAAGACATTTTCTATATTTAGCTTATTACTTGCAAACACAAAAAGTTCATTGTTAGAACAGTAGGACCGATACAGAGACTGTGTTGCTTAGAGGAACACCTTGTGGGTATTTAAGGGGAAGATCTGATGTTTAACTGAATTTTGTTATTTTTTTTAATTCAAGCAAATCTTAATTCTTATCTGAGCTCAGCACCCCATCCTGAATGCCTTTCACTGCCAAAAAAAGAGAAAAAAGTCACACATTATCCCTCTGGGCTGGGGTAATTTAATCTTTCTTACCCTTTAAATATTTTACATTTTTTAGATAAATGGTCTCTCTGCTCCTCTTCCACTGCAAGGCAAGAAGCTGACCTGAACATTTTTCTTTTTTTTTCTTTTTTTTAATGATCATCAGATTGTGTTGTATTGAGTATGTATTGATGGGTCACTGCAAAAAATATATACTAAATGCAAATAAAATTCCCTTTAGTGTTACATAAAAATACTTGACAGAGAATGTCATATACAAAGCTAAAATGTCTGCTGTTTTCCAGGCTTGCCAGACAGTTTGATTAAGATTAGCTTGATTAAATGCAGCCTTTTATAAGAATTCCTAAAGTTCTGTGCTGTTGGTTTAAGAGCTATTTGAGGTTACCAGATTTACACTTGGTTAGCATTATGAGGCAGCTGGAATGTCATGTGTGAAGACAGCAGAGGAGGGGAGCACAGCAGCTATTTACAAACTCTGTTCACCCTGAAATTTTGTTAAGTAAAATTTTAAAATAAGAGCAAGCTGGAAGGATCTCAGCTTTTATTTTCTGTGGTTTCTGGGGGATTAATGTTGTTTCCAGATGGATGCCAGAAACCACCTGATATATGAAAGGCTTTAATGGCGGAAAAACAACAGGCTTGGAGACCATCCAAACTATTATTCTTAATTAATCTGCCTCAAATTAAATAGTGGGAAAGACTGCAAGCTTGGCAACCCATTCCCCTGAGTAGGCTCTCTGTCCAACATGTGTGTGGTACACTGTCTGATGACTCAATGGTAAATTAAGCATGACCGTGTGTGGCCACAAATGACATGGTGTACAGAACTACTAGTTATGTTATGAACTTTGCCTGAAAATTTAACAATAATAATAAAAGTAATGGCACTTTTATTAGTGTATGCTGCAATCGAATCAAAACTATGTCATCCATTTTTTATTTTATATTCATGCGACATGTGATTAATCTATTTAACCTACCCTTTTTTTTAAACTCTTATGCAGTCACATCAGTACATCAAACAGATCTAACTTTCTGAATGATCGATTTATGTGGAAATACAAGATTTAATGTTGGGATTACATCTCACAGCAATTTCAAATTCACACTGTTGAACTGAATGTGAACTGAAAAGTTGTTATTTGTAGAAATGTAACTACCCCTCAAATCTCACAGTGCTCCTCTTAAGGTGTTACAACAGGACAATTAGTGAAAAGCTACAATTGTTGTAATATGATGCAGAATTATTTGTTAAGCATTTGTGAACAGCTTTTCTCCCGTTAAACAACAAATAATAGTTTTCATAAAGTTGTAAAGGTATGAAAGTATGATCATTCCCCTTTGAGTAATTAACATCAAATATTTGTATTAGTTAGAAGTTGGTGAGCTATTTGATGCATCTCCTTGTCTTGAATAGGAAGTCTCTCCAGACTCCATTCAAAAACAGTTAAATTTTACATTCACCAACCAGTAATGTTTCAGTATAAAAAATTCATTCTCTTGTTTCACCTTTATGATTGGCCTGTTCATTGTTCCCTCAGTTTATTATCCTTTGTTCCTGTTTTTCTATCATTTTTCATATTGTTTGTTCCTGCTAAAGAACTTTGGGTCGAGCCAGTTTAAAGCACCGTATAAATCTGACTTGATTTTAATGCACATGACTTACCGTGGTACTCTGATCCTCGTCAACACTGGCCATGTCCGAGTGAGAGAGATTAGTGCTTTGGACTTCCTGGATCCCCTCATTGAGGTGATCCAACTTTTTCATCAGAAGGGTCATGGAGTCACATGCAGCAGCCTGCACACACGAGCCAAATGACGCGCACACACACACACACACACACACACACACACACTTTTAGGCCTTTTATGTATGATGGTCTCCTAACCCAACACACACTCCTATTCCTCATCCACCTACTCTTGCCTTCAGGCTCCTTGCAGCTGAACAGCCCGAGCAGGGGTACACAGTGAACTGTGGAGGAGGTGACACCTTCACAGTGAGATAATTGTAGAGCAAGGACGACAGAAGCCTTTGATGGAAGAGAAATACTATAGCTAAAGATAGCTGCTAGTGAAGAATAAACTGCCTTTAACGTATACAAAAACAGCCATGTGGCCAATGCATGTTATGTAAATGTGTTAATATCTGTCTATTCCATACAGCTCAGTTATGCACATACCTAAACCCTTGCTTCCCCTCTCTTTTCCCTCTCTACCCATTGGTCATGGACTCTGACTGAGACACTGTGTTCACTGGCCTTCCAGGAAATGAACAAACTGCTTTGTTTCTGGGCTCCGCTGCCAATCCCAGAGTCCCAGAGGCTGATAGCAGCACATAGGGCCCCTTTGAGGAGCTTGAAGTCCAAAAACAGCCCCCTCACTCATACTCCTACATGCATGGACACAAGCATGCCCTCATACTACTCCACCCACCCACTCTCACACACAAACACATCCTTCTGTCCACTCCCATTCCCGAACCCATCATGTTGACCAGTTTTAAAAAATATCAGCAGTAACAGTTTTGGCAGTAAAGCCATTTCCTGTGTGTTACAGCCCCCACATCTCCAGATTCCTACACACGGGAACACAGAAGGCTGTCTATGTGCAGCAGGGTGCTATTTTTACCCTCACTATGGGGGACAGAGCCAGGGCGAGGGGAGAACACAGGCAGCGGAGGCTTTTCAGTGGCATGAGCGACTGCAAGCATGAGCATACGCAGAGTGGCACGTAAATGTGAAAACAAATGCACACCATCGCATCGACATAGATACACATTTGCACACACTTTTTGCAGCAGAGTGCTCTCGAGGCTCATGAAATGTCAATAGGCTTCTGTCCAAAGTATTATATAGTATAGGGCTCTTAACGCATCACTGCTATAAGAGCATTTAATTATTTGTCTGAACTGTCCTGGAGAGGGTAAACCCCCACTATTATTGTGATACATTAGTCTAAGTATGAATTACTAAAGAAGTAGAGGCTTTTCTTGGTCTGTAAGTGTGCTATGCTGATCTGAAGTGATAGTATATTTTGCACGAATCGTTTGCCACTGTAACTACATAATTATGATGACAACTTGTTCTATAGAGGAAAGGAGTGGAGAGGGGTAAAAGTATGTGCAAACTACTTCAGAATCCCAACAAAATGTTTTTTTCCCATTCAGATAGATCTTGGTGAAATAATGTGCTATGTGTTTTCAGTTTTTCTATCTTTCTGTGTGATGCACCAAAATGGTATCTTGTAAGCAGGGCTGTTGTTAACACCATTTAAGTCCAGTTAAACCTGCAGTAACAGATTGTTTTGGCCACTTGGGGTCAAGTTGTGAACACAAAACTTGTTAGCCAACAGTTGCTTATTTTACACAACCAGCAATTACACAGCAACATTGTCATTCATTTGGATCGTTTTTCTGGATTCTAACTGTGTCTGTCTGCCACTTGGTGGTTCAATGGGTTTTTAGAGCTTTTTCACTGAGAAAGCATACTGCCTTGTGCGGCTTAAAACAACGCTACAAGAGTGGTGAGAGTGAATGAAAACAGTACATTTACATGCCGGACAACTAAACAATTAGCTATAAACCTCTGCAAAGCGAAGGAGAGCAGCACATTTGGGTGATAACTCTCAGTGCGCTCCTCACTACGAGTGACCTCTTTCTCATGGTTTTCCCATTGTCATTTGATACATTGTTATTGTAAAATATTGGTTAAAGCTGCATTAAAACCAAAGTCCAGAAGGGGTCAAGACTCATCAACCTAGACCAAGTCTAAATTATAGGATTTAACCTCATTCAATATTTTTTATTGTTAAGAGTGGGGTATGTCATCTAGCTAACACAGCGCATTTAAACATGTAATAGAAACAGAAAAACTCCAGTGATGCTGTCCATTATGAAGTAGCAGGTACTGTACATTGAAATTTGTCTTTGAAATTACAGATTATAGCTTGTGTTCTCAAGTATTAAAAGAAATTCTGTAACATTATAAGGTGGTATGAAAAACTGAATTGGTTGAGATAATAATGTCAAACAGTATCAGTAGTCTTGATACCAAGCTTGTAAGACTCATTTCACTTTAAATGCAGCTTTATAACATTTTTTTGTACTCTAAATTCCTAAAATTATTTAATTTGGCAAAGTTGTTACCCGCATTGTGGAGTGTGACAAAACTGGCTGAACCAAGATATTCCAAGAATGTGGAACCACAGTGGGGCCTCTTTGACTTAACAGGTATTCAAATGAGCACCGGCCTAAGCCTGTCAATAAGTGACTTTAAAAGCTACTTGGTCAAACTCTGAGAGCGACATCACAAAAGGAGCACGGAGAGAACAAATCCTTTCATTTCAGTCCAAGAGGGGAGAAAAAGTGTGTAGTTTGCCAGAGGACTGTTATGGGAACATGCCAGCGACGGAGGTCCGCTCTGACAGGTGTGAGAACACGGTCAGGGGCAAGCTCACACTGATGGATGCCCGCTGGTACAGTGCAGGCTGAGAGGTGGAGATACCAGGCCGTCCCAGGAGAAACATGAGAGGAATTTATGATTGAAGGTACACCTGCCATAATATTCCTTTTTATTCAGATCCCCCTTTTTTCTCAAAACAGTTTTCTCTTTCACTTCAAAAACTCCACCAAAAGAAAAAACACCAGATAATTCAAACGACTGCAAACTCTTTATCTCTAAACATTTGGGCAGTATAATATATATAGCAGCTTTTGCAACAGGCAATGTTTTGTTTAGATTATTTGTAAAAGAGGGTTGGGAGTATGTCATGCCACAAAGATGCCCAGCCAGAATTAAACCAAAGACATTCCTACTACATACAGCACTAAATACATGTATTTTTGCATCTAAGCCTCTGTGACCAATAATCCACCAGGATACTCCAGCTACCCTACTGTAACATGCTGTGCGGCATACAAGTTGTAGATTGCAAATGATGCAGTCAATTATATTGCTCCTAGTTGGCACTGACACATTTATAAATTCACAAGCATTCACATTTACACAGTTTACTATCTTTGGAAGACACACTGGACCCTCAAAAAAAATACTACAAGCAACAAATTGGTGGTCAGGTAGAAACAATTTGACATTGCTGCCCTCTAGTGGTGAAAGTAGTATTCACTGTTACAAAATAAGCGCTTTTCACCGAAGATGGGCTGACATGTAGGAACACTACATGTGAAAATAATGACTGATGGCTGAATTCTGTTTCAGGGTCCTGGTGTTGTGCATGCTGGCTCACTGTCACACTGTCATGTCTTACAGGACACTTGTTAATGTTATTAATTAAACCTGTGCTTTTCCTGATATGACAAGCTGCTGAGCAAAAGGCCTCTCTGCAGTGCAGTGTAACTCAGACATGCAGTTACTAAAGTTCTACACAGTGAATGAAATCTCTTTGTCTCTTATATCTCTTATCTACTGTCGTGTTTTTCTTACCTGTTTTCCATTGTTCTGCAGTGTATCCTCTTCCTCCTGGCTACCTGTGAACTCAGGTTTGCCCTCATCGGTGGCCTTTTGCCAGATAGATGCAGAGCTATTAGGCTGGGCATCCTTTCTCATCCTCAAGTGCTTCCTGTTCCTGCTCAAGTTTCTACGCCGACGGCTGACCAGGAATTCCTTATATTTTAACGTCTCGGGAAAATCATCCTTCTCATCACCATCATCGTCACCCTCTCCCTCTTCAGTGGTCGACGAGGAGGATTCCCCGCCATCGGAGCTCTCATTGGCAATGATCACCTGGTTGTCAGAGCTAAAATCATAATCACAGAACACAATGGCACTTGGCTTGTGCTTTACTATTCTTAGCAGATCCAATGAACTGTCCTCTGGTGCATTCACATATGCTGGCAGATGGTTACAACTACTTTTATCCAGGGCTGGTGAAAAGGCAGGAAGAAACTCATCAGATAAGGAGGTCTCTATCGGACTCCCTTCTTGCTGCTGAGGCGATATGGCTCCACCATGTTTCAAAAACTCCGCCTCCACCTGATAACCGAGGTCGGACACCTCCATGTCCAGACCTGTTCCAGGAGCCACTTCTGAACTGTTTAAGTCGAGCTTAACTGTATTACAGGGGGAGCTGATGTCCATCTTCAGCTCCTTCAGTATTTGAGCATGACAGAGCAGAGGAACAGGTTCAGACATGGTTCTCAGTTTGCTGTTGGAGCTTTGAGTCAGGAGGGGAACTTGACCTTGCAGATCACCCAAAGCGACCCCGACAGCCTGGGGGTGAATGTGCCTGTTAGGCTGCTGCTGAACAGGCAGTGGACCTTCATGCATCACTAGTGAGCCAGTCCTCATCTGCTGAGTCTTTTATAGTGAGCACAATGACAATGAAAAACGTAAAGCTGCTTAAATGAAGATTTGAGTGAATGATATTTATACATTTGAATGTCAGAAAAATCCTTTGATACCTGAGCAGGGAGAGAGATGGAGAGAAAGAAAGAGACACAGAATGTAAATTTGGACATCTTCGCCTTCACCCATGTGTGCACTAAAGAATATTATGCATGCATAATCTATTGTCATTTGTTTCTGTTAAAGGATGTATCTGTCTGGATTCAAGTCTTTATTTGCTTACAAACTTAAGAGTTATGTTCAAGAAGGATGAAACTGCTGCTTAGACAGTTTATCAATCATTCCTTGATAAAGATACAGCCCTGCAGTTTAACACGATTAAAATATTGTAGCAAAATTATTTTCCCACTATTTTGATACTGTGCATGCTCTACTATTATTACCAAATATAACTTAAATGGGATTTTCTGGGCCAAAACAATCAAAAATGTGATCGGCTCATGCCAAAATCAACAAGTTTGTCACAGTGCACCCCTCTGTAGCTCTCAGACTTGACAAATGCATTTTGCTCAAACACACTGTTTTTTCCTGATGGATATTTTTGGCTGCAGCCAACACACCCTTTCCTTGCCTGTTATGGTTTCTTTGTCTTTCACACACAGTGGTAGGTCTTAAAATTAGGTTAAAATCCTGAAAACACTATAAAACACAGACAGCATATACATGTAAAACATACTAATCCTTTCCCAAGAAAAGTTTCATACTGCACACTTGCAAACAAAGAGTCATTTGTTCCTATTGTGTGAAGGCCATGTGTCAACTGGTCAGTGAAAAAATATTACTGTAACTCAATAACATCTTAAATACTCAATAACGTCATAAAGGTCATATACTATAGGTCATGTTTGTAATTCTGACCTATTTCTTAAATATATTAAAGAAATATATAATATAGGCTGCTTTAAAGAAGAAGAAATACAGAATTCATATTTCAACATACCAGAGGTGTCAACCAAGGTCCAACACAGCAGTCAGAAGAACCAGTATCCAACTCATTGCTTATGTGCTGCATGACACAGAAGGTACAGAAACAGTGAGTTCACCCCTGAAAAGATATGAAATTCTGTGAGGGGAGGAGAGAAAAAGCAAAGCTTGAGGAATGCTCTTCCCTCCTACATTACCTCAGCAAGAAGACAGAGAGTTCCACAGGCAGGTGTTTGCGCTTTTTGTGCAAGTCTCTGTGTGTATGTGTGTGTGTGTGTGTGTGTGTGTGTGTGTGTGTGTGTGTGTGTGTGTGTTATTTTGCACATGAATGCAAGCATGTGCAAGAGAGAAAAAACATTAATTACGCACTCAAAGCAAATAACATCCAAAGTTCTGTTGTGGAAATGATCAGATTAAATAGCTGCACGCACATTAGTCTTCAACAAACATTGATTAAATGGCTTGGGGTCCGTGGTGCACCTTTCCCCCTCCCCATTCCTCCTTCTTCACTCATTGCAGTATAATATGGCTTGAGGCAAAGGATTAGAAACACCTTAGAAGCACATTCCTCAACAACACATGAGGTAATGCTTTAAACGTGTTCTTATCCTCTCTAAATCGCTCTGAGTTCATATTTTTTGTAACTACAGCAAAGCTGTAAGCCTTGATCAACAAGAAGGGACTTACTGTCCTTACAAAGCTGTCGGTGGACTGTGGAATTCCTAACGTTTACCAGCAAACATTTAATTCCATGTTTTGGAGGGAATGTCTTTGGTGAGGAGTAAAGACCTGCTATTTGTACGTTAACCTTGACAATGACTCTGCCTGTTGAGGCCTGTTTGACCCACAAGGTCTTGGGGAGAAGAGATATGGTCAAGGTGGAGGGTGTACTAAGAGTTAGTTATTGTATTATGAATTGCTTACTGTAATGTCTCTTCACACACAAACACAATAAAACACATTTTCACAGCACACACAGTGCTATCTAACTGAAGCTGCAGTGGATTTGCTGAGGTATGTTAGAAGATGTTGCCTGTAGTTCATACAAATAAGAAAGGAGCTCAGAGATGGGATCTTTGCAGCAGTCTAAATATCACAAATTTACATTTGAAAAACTCAGCAACATTAGGTTTTTCCTAACAAAAAGATCATCAGGACCTTGTTGTGAACAGTTTTCTTCTTCTGCTTTGCAATGGATAAATTATCATTTTCACATAACTGTCAAAAGAGATTTTGCTATGTTAAGTTTATCAAATGAAAGAACTACAATCCAAATGCCATTGTTTCACTGTTTTTTGAGCAAACTGGCCCTTTAAAAGTTCTTCCATGCCCATTATGTAAACTACTGTTAACTGACCAAACAGCATCAGCACAAGTTGAACTATCAGGCAGTTAATAAAAAACACACTTATGTGTGAGTCAAATTGATGCTTATGAATGAACCTCATTAGTTATCTTGCTTGAATGAACTTGACAAATTTCACTCACCATCCCCGCCCATCTAAAATGTTAGACAGTCCTACATAGCTGTGATGATGGATGCATCTTAATTTAACTCAAACATGTATTTCAATACAAGCTACGCCAACCTGCCGAGACGAGCTCCTCCATATGTAACATTCCTGTCATAGAGAGGTATAGTTACCTGGGTCAGGTTTGAAGAAAAGTGGTACAACAAAAGAGAGGAGACAAGGCGAGATCTGGCGGTTAGATACAGTACACACAATAAAACGATTAGAGGAAAGAAAGACAGATCAGGAGTTTCTCTAACAGCTGAGGTTTGTTAGGATTATCTGTTTTTTAACTCTACAAATCAATAACACTTAAGGAAAGCACATAAAAAGTTTATCAAGACCATCTGCTAATAAATTCACACACTGAATTATGTAAGCTGTGTTATCTTGACAGTGTGTATTATAGATAGTGTGAAAATCTGAAACACAAAAAACCTTATTTTGACAACAAACAGTCAGCTTCTAGTAAGATACACAAAGAGAAATGTACTTTCCAACTCTATCACTGCAGGACAGAAAATATCAAATTAATATTCTGCACTTTCTTGCCTGGTGTAATGACTGATGGTTATATATTTAATTGCTGCTTGTACGTGAGTCTAAATTGATTATGTGTTCATTTTTAACTTTGTCTTTTTGCGTGGTCCAAAATCAAACTGTTTGAATTAAAGAACGGGTTGCTCATGGAATAAGGGCATTTAATAAGTACAAAAAGCAACACATTTGGAGAGAAACCTGAAATATATTCTACACTTAGTCACAAGATTAGCACACACATTCTCATCATGTCATGGCATGACAGCATGGGGACACTGTGAGCTCTTGTTTTTGTTGCATGGGATAAATATCTCACATTCCTTGGTGGTATCAGACAGTCACACTGTCTTCAGTGTAAACGTCAGCAAATCAGCTGCAACAAAGAAAAGATGATATCCTTCCAATTCCACAGAGCCATATTAACCTGCTGGTAGCTGCTGGGTCCCTATTAACCCCTCGTCCTCCCCTCAGCTTTCTTCCAACAAGACAAATGTCTTGTCCAGGGCTGTCCTGGGTACACATCTCTACTTACAACTACAAATAACAACAGGAGTCATGCAAGAGTTACAGTAGTGGAGGTCATCCCTTGTGGGGGCACATACATCCTCAGAAAAGATAACGACAATGAGATTAAGTTGAGGCTCCACAGGATCAAGGTCTTCAACATAATAGAGCACTGCACAATAATGCTGCTTCAGGGCTATATCAAGCTAATACATTTTAATTCATCATTCTGCCCGAGTGTTGTTATGAATTATAGTCTTTCGTTATCAGATAACAAACTGATACATCTGGTGCAACTTACGATGGAAAGCACATTGTCCAAGTATACTCACAGTTTCGTGGTGTCCATGATTAAAAGGCTGATTTACCACTCGCCTGTAGGAGCTTTGACCCGCTCGGCTCTCCGTAGCTCAAGAGGAAACGGCAGCGCGGGTGGTGCATGAATAGTATTTCGCGGGAGAGTGGCTAGCTAACGGCAGGTTGTCTGCTGTCAACACGGAATTTTACAACAGTTGTTACTAAATTCACAAGGACAATGAGTTTGTGGGTGGACAAATATCGACCAACATCCCTCGGGAAACTCGACTATCATAAAGAGCAAGCCACCGAGCTGAAAAACCTGGTGAGAGAAAACAACCTCATGCATCCTGCAGACTGTGTGTACATTAGCATCGCACTCTATAGCTGCATACAGGCTGATATCAGAAAGTTTACTTTACCAGAGACATGTTCCCCTGGTCAACTGTTGTTGTTAACCCGGTCATTTAAGATAGCTTGTTTGTGATAGCGGCGTCCATCATATCAAACTTTACGTTAACGTTAATGAGATACACTAAGGTTATGTCTTGTCATTTGAGTGCCACCGTTGATAGATTAATCATGCAGTAACCGTACGTTTCTGTATGTAATGTTGCTTAACGGCATAAGAGGATATACAACGCTATATGTGTTGCAAGTCAACTGACTTTACATGTTTACAAGCAACACTTTACTCCAGTGACGTTAGCTTACAGTTGCTACGACTGGTAATTAAGGCAAGTCATTTGATAGTTTAAGCAAACCTATGCTAATAAAGCGAAACATCTGTAAATGTTTCAGGTTCAATGTGGCGACTTCCCACACTTGTTGGTGTATGGTCCATCAGGCGCGGGGAAGAAGACCCGCATCATGTGTCTGCTGCGGGAGCTGTATGGAGCTGGGGTGGAGAAGCTTCGCATAGAGCACCAGACCATCGTGGTAAGAGGGGAAATAATGAACTACACCGCCACTAGACCCCCTTCCCACCATGCATAACTGCCTTGCATGCAGTTTCTCCAGACGCGCCTCAGTCAGTCATGAGTTCACAATCAACAACTGTCTGATGAAGACTTAGGTGCTCACCTGTTTTGTGTTTCTAATGTACAGGCTCCCTCAAAGAAGAAAATTGAGATTAACACAATAGCCAGCAACTACCACTTGGAAGTCAACCCAAGGTAACCTAATGACGAATAAGTAGCTAAATACATTTACTCAAGTATGGTACTTAGTTGCAGCACTTGCACTTATGTATTCCACTTCATTTCAGAGGAATCTGTACTTTTTACACCATTGCATTTATTTGACAGCTGTAGTTATTGGTTGCTTTGCAGGTTAAGATTGTTTTAATAGATTTTTATGGTTGAGGTATAGCCCAAAAATATTGTAATTTAATTTTAGTGGGACTAAGTATTTCTGTTATGTGTTGCACAGTGATGCTGGAAACCAGGACCGTGTGGTGATTCAGGAGCTGATTAAAACTGTGGCTCAGTCTCAGCAGATCCAGTCGAGCACCCAGAGAGAGTTCAAAGGTAGGACATGGTCCATGTTTTTAGAGCAACACTCGTGAAACTGAGTTAACGTTTCATGATTCTATTATTCCTCTGGCTCTGTGAAGCCGTAAGATGTAGTAATTGGTACTGTTTTTACTTTCAGTGGTGTTGCTAACAGAGGTGGACAGACTCACAAAGGATGCCCAGCATGCCTTGCGTCGGACAATGGAAAAGTACATGTCCACCTGCCGCCTCATCCTCTGCTCCACCTCCACCTCCAAAGTCATTGGGCCAATTAGGAGCCGTTGTCTGGCTATCAGAGTTCCTCTGCCGAGCACAGAAGAGGCAAGATGGAGATGATGTGGTTTAGATTACAACTACATGGCCTAAAATTTGTTAAGTAATGGTAAAGACAACATTTTAACCTCCTTTTTTTTTTTCTCTTGTCTCTGTGTTTTTCCTGTTTGCCAGGTCTGTAATGTTCTGACATCAGTCTGTAAAAAAGAGGGTCTGCTCCTCCCACCTGAGCTGGCCAAGCAAATTGCTGAGAAGTCTGGTCGCAACCTCCGCAAAGCCCTTTTGATGTGTGAGGCCTGCAGAGTTCAGCAGTAAGTCATCACAAAATTTAGCATCATTCCTCCACAGCATTAATCCGTGGATTAGTGTAGAATATAAACAAATCTGCTTATTTAGCCTGCGCTAATCTTTTCCAGGTATCCATTCTCAGTGGACCAAGACGTCCCACAGACGGACTGGGAGGTCTACCTCAGAGAAACAGCTAATGCAATCGTCAGCCAGCAGAGCCCTCAGAGGTTGGAGAGGCAGAGAGAGCAGAGGTGTAGTTGGTTCTGAAAGAAAGTCAGAGATTGAAATTGTTAATCCCTCATCTGTCTCTGTTCCAGGTTGTTGGAGGTTCGAGCCAGGCTGTACGAGTTGCTGACTCACTGCATCCCTCCTGAAATCATTATGAAGGTACATTATCTCCCATCAAAGTGTTGAATCGTCTTGCAGTGGAAGGTAATGAGAATTAATTTTCCCCGTCCAATCCTCTAACAGGGTCTGGTGACAGAGTTGTTGAGTAACTGCGATGGCCAGCTGAAGACGGAGGTGGCCCACATGGCAGCCTACTACGAACACAGACTGCAGCTGGGCAATAAGGCTATCTATCACCTTGAGGCCTTCACCGCCAAGTTCATGGCCATTTACAAGAAGTTCATGGAAGACGGTCTGGATGCTATGATGTTTTGAACAGGACTTAATATGTAGATACTTTTCTTGACAGGAGTTCACCCTCATTCATTTTCTGATCTCTTGCATTTTTGCCCCAACAAGACTTTCTGTAGACTTGATACAGATTTGCATCTGTATTCTATAAAGCACGGTGGTGACACTGACACTCGCCCCAGGATGAATCTTGATTGTCTTAGAATTTGTGACTTAATGCCATGAATTGTTGGCCAAAACCTCAGCACTATACACAGTTTGTAAACCTTGAACTGTTGCTCTAGTTGTGTCAAATAACACAAACAGAGCAGTTTTGTTAGTGACAGTAGCAGGCACTGATTTGTATGGAAAATACAGGACAAAATGTTGTCCCTTTAAAATCTACATCAGAACAGTACAATAAATTGCTTTGTTGATATGTAAAAGTCTGGTGTTGCATGGATATGACCAAGCGTGGGTTTTATTATCTCATTGACCATCACTCTATCGACTTTAAAAGGTGCCCAACAGGTTTTGTAACAAAATTACACCAACTTTATAAACATCTAATAACAGCTGTAACAGCTACAACGTGAAGAGGATTGGACCACTTTCATTATCCAGACTTCATTTAATATAAAGGTCAAAAGAAGTCCCATAATTTAGGGTTGTACAATAAAATACAGACTGAACTCTACTTTGCTGAACATTAAGCTCAGTTTTCTTTCACTGAGTCATTTATCAAAAGTTACAATCATCAGTAACTCTCCTTGTGTCTCTTGGCTGTGTAGTAGATAATGAGGCCGAGGGTGATCAGCACCCCTGAACCTACCAGGGTCAGGAAGCCCACCACAGGGCTCTTGACCAGTATGTGGCAGCCTAGGCAGGGCTGAGGCATGCTGGGACACTGCCGGAGCGCAGCTCCCTGAATGGGGAAGCCACTGTGCTGGATGATGTTGCGATAATTGGAGAGAGAGGCCTTGACGATGACCTCCTCATGAACGTGGCCGTACAAACCAAACCCTGGGTCCCTTTGGTCGCTCAGGGCGTAAGCAAAGTAACCCTTCAGGTTTACGCCGTCCAGAGTGTACGCTGAAGAGGGAGGAAAGAACATTAGAAGTTCAAGATTAATTTTCATTTACTTGTATGTGAAGGTGATGTGGTGGGCTGAGTGTGGGGAAAAATACATTACCTTTAACAGTCCATTTAAGATTATAAACATATAATAAATTGTTTACATCACATTGTGATGAAGTAATAAGTAGATCTATGGACAATAGTTTATTCATCTACTGCATTTTAAGCAACTTTTTGTTACATAGCTTCTGTATATTATTGTCATGATTAAGTTAAAGTTACAGCTACATAAATAATACTTCATCTGCTTACAAGCTTTATATTAAAGTTTTATAGATGTTTATTTATTTATAATGTTAAATGGGGGGGGGGGGGGGGTAAATACAGTGTTACCAAAATATATGTAGAATATAAAGCTTATGTTTGTGGATTAAAAAGCCCCCCAAAAGTAGTATTACTATGCAGCTGTGAAAATGACTACAGTCCCCTCCAAAAGTATTGGAACGGTAAGGCAAATTCCTTTGTTTTTGTTGTTCACTGAAGACATTTGGGTTTAAGATCAAAAGATGATAATGAGACAAGAGTTCAGAGTTTCAGCTTTTATTTCCTGGTATTTACATCTATATGTGTTAAACAACTTAGGACATATCACCATTTGTATTAGACCACAGCATTCTTAGTTGAGCAAAAGTAAAGGAACAAATAATCTTAAAGAAAATAACATTTAATATTTGGTGGCATAACCCTTGCTTGCAATAACTGCCTCAAGCCTGCGACCCATCGACATCACCAAACTGTTGCATTCTTGTGATGTTTTTCCAGGCTTTTACCGCAGCATCGGGATGTTTCTCCCTTCAGTCTCCTCTTAAGGAGGTGAAATTCATGCTTTGTTGGATTAAGGTCAAGTGATTGACTTGGCCAGTCTAAAACCTTCCACTTTTTCCCCCTGATGAAGTCCTTTGTTTTGTTGGCAGTGTGCTTTGGGTCATTGTCCTGCTGCATAATCAAATTCCTCCCGATTAGTTTCAATGCATTTCTCCGTAAATTGGCAGACAAAATGTTTCTGTACACTTCTGAATTCATTCTGCTGCTACCATCATCAGTTACATCATCAATAAATATTAATGAGCCTGTTCCAGAAGCAGCCATGCATGCCCAAGCCATGACATTACCTCCACCATGCTTCACAGATGAGCTTGTATGCTTTGAATTGTAAGCAGTTCCTTTCTTTCTCCACACTTTGGCCTTTCCATCACTTTGGTAGAGATTAATCTTGGTCTCATCAGTCCATAAGATTGTGTTCCAGGATTTTTGCGGCTCATCTCTGTACTTCTTTGCAAATTTCAATCTGGCCTTCCGATTCTTACTGCTGATCAGTGGTTTGCATCTTGTGGTGTGGCCTCTATATTTCTGCTCTGAGTCTCCTTCCAACAGTGGACTGTGATACCTTCACCCCTGCACTGTGGAGGTCGTTGGTGATGTCACTTACAAGGCAAGGCAAGTTTATTTGTATAGCACATTTCAACAACAAGGTAATTCAAAGTGCTTTACATAAAACATAAAAGCAACGGAAATATAAAAAAGTTTAAAAGCAACATAGGGAAATTGAAAAAAATACACATTAAAACAGGGTAAAACAGGACAGTAAAAGTTACAGTGCAATGTACAATCAGTTACTGATGTTTTGGGGGTTTTCTTCCCAGCTCTCACGATATTTCTATCATCAACTACTGTTGTTTTCCTTGGCCGACACCAGTAGTTTGTTTCTTTTTCAGGACATTCCAAATTGTTGTGCTTGCTATGCCCAATGTTTGTCCAATGGCTCTGGTCGATTTTCCTTCTTTTCTCAGCTTGACAATGGCTTGCTTTTCTCCCACAGACAGCTCTCTGGTCTTCATGTTGGTTTATCCTCTTTAACAGGAAATGCAGTCTTTATAGGTTTAAACCAAGGGTGAAAACTTAGACTAGTCATGCAGAGCAATTTAATATTTGGACAATCAACCTAAAAGGCACATGTTCCAATAGTTTTGCTCACTTGAAAAATGGGTGGGTTCAAACAAAGGGTGATATGTCCTGAGTTGTTTAACACATAGAGATGTGAATACCAGGAAATGAGAGCTGAAATTCTGAACTCTTGTCTCATACTCATCTTTTGATCTTAAACACAAATGTCTTCAGTGAACAACAAAAAAATTTGCCTTACCGTTCCAATACTTTTGGAGGGGACTGTATGTCACTAATAATGTAATTGAGTAGCATATTGTCTGGCTTTTTGATATTGTTAACCCAATTTATACCAAATGGACTCTTTTTATAATAATAAGGGATTTTTAGACATATCTCCTCTCCTGTGGAACCAGGTTCTAATTTGGGTTCATGAGGCAGACACCATCTCTACTTTTAAGAGTAGGCTTAAGACTTTCCTCTTTGATAAAGCTTATAGTTAGGGCTGGTTCAGGTGAAGTCCTGAACCATCCCTTAGTTATGCTGCTATAGGCCTAGACTGCCGGGGGATTTCCCATGATGCACTGAGCTCCTCTCTCCTCCTCTTTCCTCTCCCTCTCTATGCAACCTCATCCCATTAATGCATGTTACTAACTCGACTTCTTCCCTTTCCCGTAGTCTTGTCCTTTCTCGTCCCTCTCCCCTCTCCTCCTATCACTTCCTGCAGGTGTTTCTGGCTCTGGAGCTGTGGAATCTGGATCCGTGGTTGCGGGTCACCTGCTACCCTCATGTTCCTGCTCAATACCCTCTGCTGCAATTATTGTCCTATTGTTATTATCATTAACATTACGATTATTATCATACATTACTATAAATATCTGTACCATTATTATCACCAGTGCACTATATTATTATACCTTTACTACTTTCTGTGCCTCTATGTGTATATTTTGTAGTTTCACTCACTCACTCACTGACACACACACACACACACACACACACACACACACAAAAACCGGTCGAGGCAGATGGCCACCCACCCTGAACCATGGTTCTGCTCGAGGTTTCTGCCTCTTAAGAGGAAGTTTTTCCTTGCCTCTGTCGCCTAGTGCTTGCTCTTGGTGGGAATTGTTGGGTTTCTGTAAATAACATCAGTCTGCATCAGAGTGCGGTCTAGACCTGCTCTTTTATGAAAAGCGATAACTGTTGTTGTGCTTTGGTGCTATATAAATAAAACTGAATTGAACTGAATATCTATTTATGGTAACATCTCATAATTATGATGCACAAAGTCACATAGTGATATCGATTGATATACTATGTCACAACTATAAGAGATGTTTGTCTTTTCTATGCCTGAATCAGCTTCCATAACAGTTCTGCTCTCATCATGAATATGTAAAAATGGAGCCTGATAGTTAATATAGTTAATATGATATAGTGATATTATATATTTAATATATATAGTGATAGTTAATATTTAATTTGAACAAGTCAAAGATTTCATAAAACATTCAACATAAAAAAGTAAAAATGAAGTAATTCCTCAAATGTCATGGTTGATGTATTTCAGACTTGACATCACTCTACACAAAATATTATGCAAACTGTTTTCTGTGGGTGGTCACCACTTAGTGGTGACAGAGTACACTACAAAATATAATAACATGACACTGCAAGGTTTCCAAGTGCTGGTCAAGGTCTTCACTGAGTGTAACCCAATAAACTGTACAAGGACAGGTAACTGGATAGCAAGTAACCTTGACTCAACAATTCAGCGTAGAGTGTGTGTATCTTTGTTGATATTTTTGTGTGCCTATGTGTGTGTGTTCTGAGTCAGCTGACTATTCAAGGGTCAGTGACTTAAATACCTGTCTAATGATTAAGCTCTTCGGAGGCCAGTAAGGGAAAGACTTCAATCACATCTGAATGATTGATCAGTCAGTACACAAATGTAGTGATAACAATATTCAGTGCATTGCATTAATCATATAAAATCTCAACAGCAAGATGTGTGAGTTTGAAGTCTCACCTTTCAGCGCCTCATTGATGTAGTTATACAGGTAGTAGACTCTCAGGCTGTCTTTGAAGTGGGCTGCGTCTTCCTGGACCCCGTTGGCCATCACATAGACAGGTACATCACAGTAGTGCTCCCTCACCTTACACAGCAGGAGAGAAATGTCAGTTTTTTAAATCTCCGTCAAGGTTTATTAAAGTTTGTCACATTGAAACAATTAAGTTGAGATCAACCATTTGGTGTGAAAAGACATCAAGTAGTCTCAGACGTCACACAGGTGATTGACTGTGTTGGTATTCTCCCAATAGCAGGTGAAGAATCTTAACCTCTGAATCACACATGTAAAGCCACCTTATAAGCGCATCATGCATTAGCATCTACTGAATGTCATCATAAAGTCACTCATGG